GGATGATACTTTATGGATGATACTTTGGTTACTTTGGGAAATGACTCGGCACAACAATTTGTTATCTGAATCTCGCCATATAACTAGAGGCAGAGGCAGGACTAAACTGGCTCGTCTCTAGCTACTTTTTTTTCTGTGATTTTAGTATCTTTCTTTTTTTTTTGGATTTCCCAGTATCTTTTATCTTTTTGGGTGTTTGTGTGTTGTGTCGTTTGGGTAGGGTGTCTCGATTGGGCCCTCTCACACAACCTTTATGTCTTTCCTATTTTAATAGATTTAGTCCTTGGGCTTTTCAATATATATATATATATATATATATATATAGAAAATCTCTACTTTTCTTGAAATGTTGTATATTTTTTTCAAGTATGCCGATCATTTGAATTATTGCTCTTCCATAATTTAGCTGGAATCTTAATATTCAAACTCACCGAATAAATATGATAGTAAAATCAGCTCAATTATGTGATAAACGTTTTGTCTAATACTTTCCCTCCGACACATAACAAAACAAAAAGGTCTAGATTCATAACTCGGTCCCAGCTCCAGTTTATCAATTCCAATGATATCTCCATTAATACTCATTCTTCAATGAAGAATCCTAAAACAACGGATTTACCCATTTGCTGCAGCCATGTGCATCCTTTTTCATTAAGCCGTCTAGGATGTTGTGTTAAAATACAAAAAAAAATCATTAGTAAGTTGAGAAGAACCAATCCCTATCCATACATGTGATTCCAATTCAGACTTTAATTGACAAATGAAGTTCCCTTGCAAGACGCTTATCCTAATCTTTGTTGGTTAGCTGAGGAAATAACACTTGAGCTCCGTCCACTTTCCTCAAATTATCTCAGAATAGTGACATATTTGTTATAATAAGTGACACGTCCGCCTACCGTGGTCCCCGTCACACTGACTACTCACTCATTACGACGGAAAAAGGACTGCTGTAGGTCCCGAGGGTCCACGAAGGAGCACTTTTTCCCTAAAATAATCATCACCATCCGATCGATGGGCTCGCGTTAAGCTAAGTAACAGTTCCGGTATCCTCTTGCCCCCTTATTCTTGGAAAAATTTGCATGATAAGACATATGTAATGTTGCGTATAAAATGAAAATTATATTTATGTTATATCAGCATTATATTTTCATATAATTTATATATAATTTATAAATATATGAAAATAAAACGTAAAAATTATTTATATGTTCAGATAAATTATAAATTAATTATATAGAGGTTATATAGAGATTATCAGCAATATAAAGCGGATATAAAGGGATATACCTCCAACGCAGCTCTGCTTATTGTTTGATGAGCCTGGACAACTGAGGCGCGCTTTTCCGGTGCAGAGTAGAGGGTGAGATCGCCGCCGATCGAGATCATCAGATCAGCAATTAGGCAGTTTCTTGCTTGGATTTAGTCGGGAGTAGGAGGAGAACGGGTGGAAGCCGACAAGGGGAATGAAGAAGGGGAAATACGAGCTGGGGCGGATGCTGGGAGAAGGCAACTTTGGGAAGGTGAAGTTCGCGAGACGGGTCGACACCGGTGAGGCATTTGCCGTCAAAATCCTAGATCGCAAGCGCATCCTCGACCTCAAGATCACCGAGCAGGTACCGCTGCTACACAATCAGCCTCTCTAGCTCTTTTTTTTTTGTTACGATAAAAATCTTTTCGTTAAAATTAGTTATAGATTTAGGTTTGTTTGATTTTGTTCTGAAAATCTGTTTCAGATTGAAAGGGAAATCACGACGCTCAAACTTCTGAAACATCCCAACGTCGTCCGGCTACATGAGGTCCGTGCTTCGCCTTTTCAAAGTGCTTTAGCTTTTCCTTATCCATACTCTTTTTACGAAACGCCTATTAAAAAAAAAAATATTAAATGCTAATATTGATAATTATAATAATAATAATAAAGCCCTGAAGCTTGGTGGAATTATTTTGTTTATATAATTCTTTTAGAGCTTGTGGACTTTGACCTTATCCAGGAGTCCACCGGTCAAAATGTTAATAATTGGCTCTGATTTAGTTGTTTTACATTAATATGTATATTTAATTAATTTTGCTGTTGGGAGTGGCATTAGCGAGCTGGACATTGCAACCTGGTATGATTGAAGGCCCCACCCACAACCTTCCTATCGTCGTGCGCCAGGTGGCTTGCCTCCCGTGGAGGATATTGTCGCAGCTACTTTATATTTTGAAGCACCTTATCCGTGCCTAATTTTATCATTTAAAATTTAGGCTTTTAGGTTTTTTTTTTATTTGCAGTAAAAATACTTCAGCAAAAAACAGAAGTTTAGCAATATAAATGATGGTACTTTTTAAGAAAAAATTGTCTGAAAGGTGATTTAGTGGATAATACGTACAACAAATGGACTAGATATTAAATGCCTGAAAAGTTAATTTGTTTGATTAACTTTAATTGCAGCTGTCACACCGCAGCGAACATTTTGTTGAATCCTAAATTGTCTTTCGAGAATACACGTCCTGAGAGTTATAGCTGAGCGAAGGAGAACGAGAGAGAGAGAGCAGTGCAAACATAATTCTACGGAGAAGAGCCAGGGGAAGAAGTCTTTTTATTCACTGTTAAACTACTTATTTATAGGAGTCTGCTTACATTGTTTTGGAAGGAGGGTATGATTATGAAAACTGTCTTTAATATAATTAATGTGCTAATGTATATCAGATTTACATTATAATTGGAATGTGGTACGACGGCAATTGGTGGATTGACGTGCTTCGACGTGGTCTGTTGAAGCGATCGATTGCGTGATGGTCGCCTTTGCCAAGGTAGATTGGTCGGCTAATTGCGATCGGTTGGCTTTTTAGGAAGCCTCAGTAGTGGAGCCGTAAAGAAGTGCGCCGATTGGATCCATTAGTTCTGAAGGTCGATCGACTCGATCGAGCTGTTGGTCTTCAAATAACTGGTCAGATCAAGCTCGTTGAATTCAATGTTTTAATTGTTGAGCCATCATCCTTAGTCGCATGATCGCTTTGTGATTCGTACTGACAATTTTGGTGTATACATATTAGTTCCCCGAGTTTTGCTACTCCTTGATGGTGGCGACCACGATAAGGATAGAAAAACCATTAAATAATCAGTGGCACCAAAATCAAGAGAATCGTTTAAACAATTGACTTCCCCTTGGGTTCTGCACCCAATAAGCCCTATAAATGGAGTCGTGGGCTTTGGCATGTGTTCTTTGCTATCAGTTATCCTCAAATAATTTGAGGCCTCCCTTGATAGAGTCTGCGAGTCAGAGTGGGGTGGATCCTGAAATTGGTTGGCTATCAAGTTTCTGCTTCTGTGAAGAAGAAGAAGACTGTGAAGAAAGATAAAAGGTCGAAGCCCAGACTTGTGGTCATCCATCTAGTTGACCCGTTTGATGGCGCCAAGGCACAGTCATAAAAAATGCTTCGCATAGAAACTATGGCTTCCGGACCCGGCATAAACGCTACTGCTGAGGATCAGCAAGGCTCTTCTGGCGAAGGGACTGAGGTCGGAGAAAAGGAGACATAGGGGGCAACAATCATTGTTCTTCCCGGCCTTCGCCTTAGAAAGACGGAGGTACTTTAGTGCAAGAGATAGATGAGTTCTTGAGAGCTCTTTTATGAATGGGCAGACTTTTAGTTTTTAAATTTTCTTTGATTGTTGGTGGTTTTTTAATGACTCTATTAAATTATCATGTAAGCAGATGAATTGATCGGGTTGGCTCTATGAAATTATCATGTAAGCAGATGAATTGATCGGGTTGGAGAGCCGCAATAATGGCAAACCTTCGAAGGACGATGTGGAGTCCGTACCCACTGCGACGACTAGTTTGCAAGTCGAGTACATTAAGTTTTTGCAACCAATCGCTCCAGGGGGGCACCAACTGTCTGACCCTTTGCCTACGATGGGCCCCAACAGGAGCGACCAGGGTGACGAATGCCATGTTTAGATTTACAAGGCGGCAAACAGATGGGACTGGACCCTTGGTGGGATCGGTCGCTTCTTCTGAGGGAGTAGACTTAGGCTCGACTGTAGATCTTGTGCGGGAGTTGTCAGCTTATCTGACTACTACAGATTCAGAGGTTGCGGCTCGAAGGACGGAAGTCTCCACTTTGCACAGCGAGCTGACAGGCGTGGGGAGCGAGCTTTGAGCTCTCCGTGAGTCGACTGCCTTGGTCGAGTTCCAGCAAGCCACTGATCGAGTGGATCACATTAGGTTAGGTGGAGATTTTGTCCTCCAATGGCTAATTCGAGAAGGGTATGTTCTGACCAAAGCCTTAGAGGACCTATTTATAAAACACTTCATTCAAGACCTCATTATGTGACGCTTTGTTTACGAGGAGCATAGGGACGTATTGGCAAAATAGCTCCTAAGAGGAATGGATTTTGTTGTCTCGTCAACACCAAATTTTTAGATATCCCTACTTCCAGACAAATCGGAAGAAGCTTTAGAAGAGGACAGCTTGGGCAGCGGGGATAGGTCGGCCATCCGCTAGAACCTTGCTTCAAGAAAAACTTACAATTCTTTTTTTCTTTAATAATCAAAGAGAAGACATTTGTAATTCCTTTTTGGATATATGAGCAAAATTTGTTCATTTTTGTTTATTTTGAATTGATTGTGACTTAATTAATTGTGTGCTCATCGTGTGAGCTGATCCATTGTGTTAGTCGGTCAATCGAGATAGTTTGTTAATCCTGTTTGGTCGGGTTGCTGCCACTGGGGAGTCTCTCTTCTGAGGCGAACAATGTGAACTGCCGCGGATCTTGTCTTTGGCAAGTGTCTCAATCACCTTCGGAGCTAAACCACAAACTTTGGATATCACGTTCTTCTAGGTCGATTATTAAATTTTCAGAATTTATTCGACTCAAGTCGTTGATTGGAAGTCAACCCAACATCTTTCCATAGTGATTGATTAATGTATGCTTACTGATTGGTTTACATAGAACCTAGGTTATCACATACCCCCACCCCATTCGGTGAATTAGACCTTGACCTTAGTCGTGTTCGTTCCCTTTTCGAAGTGTGAATCTTGTTCACCTGCTAGGGCCACCCTTGGGGACTTGTTGCTGGGATGAAATGTTTTACACTATTTCGCGGATCTTGATGCTAGTGAGTGGAGAACCATCTCTGGAGACATGCTCTTTTTGACTTTAGAGGGTAGGATTTGTAATGCAAAGGTGGTGCAAGTAGTCAATCAATCTATCTTAATCGGCTGAGATTATTATGTTTTTTTTTTATTTTTCTGTTTGGCGTACTTGCAATCCACGAGTATTAGAATAGGTAACTAGGTAGCTTTTGCTGAATCCCTGGTCGGGTTGAGTTCCCGAGTGTTTAAAAATCGCGACCGACCATTTTAGCGGGTTTGGCATTCATGTCTCATCATGTGATCCTGACATGTCGATATTAAAGAATACATTTTTCGTGATGTGGATTCCTTTTCTATTTCATTTTTTGAAAATCCATTGCCTACCTTCCCGTCACTATACTCAGTTGTCCTTTTCATGATGGGTCCCCATCAAGCGTTTTTTAGGAGCCATTATTCTGGATCACTTACCCCATTCCTTCTATAAAAGCGAGAAAGGGTGGCCTCCACCAAATGTGTTTTTACCACAAAAATAAAACAAAAAAAAAAGTTTGTGGATAATGATGGGAGCCTGAATGGCTTGACAAGGGGTCAAAGGCAAAGGTGTCCTTCTACATACAGGAGTGAAGGACCTCGCATAGGTTATGTACTAATTTTCATTTTCTTTGAATCGTGTGCTGAATGAGGGGGTTTCCTCCGTATCAGGTGTCTAATGCAACATCAGACTAGTCAGACTATCGACATCATGTCACCTCGTAGATGGGCGTAGTGTCCCATGGGAAAATGTTGCATTGCCTTCACGTCCCTAGGGAATGAAGTATGTTCGTTCGACGGTTACTGCCAGAAGGGTTTCAACTCCCCATTAGCCGCGAAGGGGTGAGAATCACAAATTTTCTAGCAGTAAGTGCCTATTTCTTCACTCTTCCTCGCCTCTAGGTTTCGTGAGGAAGAATATGACAAATATGTTGAGTCAATTGTGGGAGGAGACCTAGATAGTACATTGACAAAAAATCTTGTCCCTGAGTGGATATGATATGATGCCCACCAGTAGTGTATCGTCAGCTACTTCATGCAACGCCTCATCCGTTCGACGGTTGTTGCTCAGTGTCCACGACCGACCCTTTAGTGGTCTTTCAGGCATGAAGGGTTGTCGTATAGCAGCACTCCCCTTTCTCCGCTACTTTCCCGCTTTAACTCTTCCTCATAAAAAAGTATGTGTGAAGATGGGGGTGAGGAGAGTGGGTGCCTTCTCTCTCGTGCTCTCCTAATGTTCACTCATTATAGAGAAGATGCAAAGGCAGTGAGAGTGAGGAGGAATCGAGGGCCCTTAGTGAGGATTTGTTACTCGAGTTTCAACATAGAGCCTTCGATTCATTTGAGGGTGCATTCTTTATCAAAAGTTTGTAACGACTGTACCTCTTGTGTTTATTGCTATGCGGTTATTTTATACGTTTCGGCTAAGATAAATAAAATCTCTCATTTTATTATGCTATATTTGCTTATTATTGAGCGGTTGGTCACTTCATATTATGACATTTTAATATTCTTGTCTCTCGTTTAATCAACCCAATTCAACGGATATTAAAAAAAATGATCGTCCAACATTGTCCGCTCGAAAAAGCATTTTCAAAGCTTCGAAAATCGATTTTTGACATTTGATTGGTCTGATTGAGTTCCCCGAGCATTGGAGAGACCTGGACAGTGTTTGAGCAAATTTAGT